CGATTAACGTTGAAACTTTTTTCCGGCTTTTGTTAGCAGGCCCGGATCCTTTTAGGATTGGGCCGAAAACAAACCACTAAATTTATATAACACTAAGATATGAGTTATTCAAAAAAGAAAATCAAAGAAAAATATACATAACACTAACATATACTATGTTATATTAAAAATGCGAATGATCTACAATAAAATTTAGATGTTATATCCATGATCTATGATATGCTTAAACAAAAGATTCTATAAAAAGATGAGCGATAGGACTAGTTCACTTTTATTATTCATTATGTTGATTGTTGATTTGATAATTTAAGCATAGTCATGTATGTCTATACTTATAAGAAGAAAGAAAATGACGTTTAAAATAAAAAAAAAATTAACGAAATCTTTTTTTTGTTTTTAACTTTTTTAACTTCACGAAATCTTTAGATTTCAAAAGCACAACAAAATGTTAGTAGAAAATCTGAATGTTTGACCACTTCCGATCATTTGAGCTAATCTTTTATATACTAAAATATCAGTTGGTGTGTGTGCATGGTCTCTTCAAAGTAGGTTGAACTATGTTCCTCCATGCATTTTTTGGTGGGCTAAATTTACTCTGTTGAAAGACTTCAATCGTTCTAGACAAGATGATGTAATCAGTCCTCATCAAAACCTGTCCTGGATAAAAGCTAGGAAGGCATGAGTCTAGATTCTTTGAAGAGTTTACAATAATTTGGGCCAATCTGAACTGAAAAAGTTTAGCAACGGTGGTACTGGTAACTGTTGAAAGTAACTATATCAAGATAGACGGTTCTAATCCTATTGAGATATGAGGGGTTCTTTATGTTTGATAATTTCTTATTAAATTTTCTAAAATAACACAAAATTATTAAAATCATCTAAAATTTTATTAAAATTCAATCACTCCAAATGATAGATTGAATATACCATTTTTAGTTTTAAAATAATATATAAAAATACAATTAATTTCGTCTTTAATTTTTCAAAGCCATAATGATACCAAAGTAAATTGACTTTTTAGAAATTTTTAAAAATGCCACATTTTCAAAATCTTTGCAAAAATGCCACTTTTTCAAAATTTTTTATTTATTATATCATTTATGTTTGGGTTAACTATGTTGTATTAGGGTTTAGTTTTGAGGGTTTAAGGAATCAAAATATTTTTTAAGGTTTATAATTCTAAGATTTAGGCATTTTTTATTATTTTTTTGGTCGAATAAGATTTAGGTTTTAAAAATCCATAATTAGTGGTATTTTTGCAAGAGGCAATTGCAAAAATACCACTTTTGGTGTGTATATTTGCAAGAATGCCACTAATTATGGATTTTTAAAGCCTAAATCTTAAAATTTTAAACCCTAAAAAATGTTTTGACCGCAAAAACCCCT